CAGAGAAACCGTTCACTACCTGGATGAGTAGTGCAGATGAATATCCGTACAATGAGTCAAGATAATGACTCACTCTGCTTATCCCAATTTCCTAAGGTCATGTCATATGAAGATGGGGATGCACTTCTGGAACGACCCGCTGGCAGGTAGTGATGTGCGGGCCCGGCTTGGGCTCAAAGCCCGGGCTTGGGCTTGTGGCGACGCCAAGCCGAGCCCTGAGCCCGAGCCAAGCCTGAGCCCGGCCCAAGCCGTGGGCTTAATAAGCCCGGGCTTGCCAAGCTTAGGACAAGTATTTATATGCTACGAAAGTGAGCTTAAATGAAAGGGCGTTGCCGCGAGGAAGTCGCAGCGGAATGACCATGTGATGAATTTCGGTCATGTCCGAGTCACAGGACGACGTGACAATAGCCGCCACACAGGACGTGAGCCGGCTTCTTACCGAGCTGGCCCATCGTCGACGATTTACTCAGCTCCCAAATTTCTCCAAATTCGTGAACCAACGATACAACTGCTTATCATTGCACCTGAACAAACCGGGAAGAAGTCATAACAAAACGACAGGAATCAAAAACGCTATCACAAAACCATAAAAAAAAGCTATGCATCACGCAAACCCTCCTGCTGCCACTTTCCAACCACGGGCACCTTTTCCAACGACGACGGCTTTTACAGCACGATGAACGCGCCGAGGAGCACGCTCGCCACGACACTCGCAGCGCCGACGAACGACGTGCGCGCAAGGCCGCCGAGCGCCGCGTTCGATGACGGCGTGGCCGACGCCGACGCCGAGGAGGAGGAGGGCGAGACGAGGTCGACGGCGCGCGCCGCGGGCGCGCCCGACAGGGCGGGGTAGCTCGCGGTGACGGTGACGGTCGTCGTTGCGCCGGAAGCGGGCCTGGGCGGGGCGCGCGTCAGCACCTTTAAGGGGAACCCAGAGTGGGAGAGAAGGGACTTACGGTGCAGCGGCCAGCGCGCCGGCCGACGCGGAGGGCGACGCAGAGGCGGGCACCGATGTTGGCGCCGCGGTGGGCGCGGAGGTCGAGCTGCCCTCGATAGCGGCCAGGAGCTGCGAGACGGGCGTCGCGACTGTCGGTGCGACACGTTAGCATGTGGAATATGTGTTAGAGGGGAAACACGCACTGTCGCTCGGCAGGAGCGGGAGCAGTTCGTCGAGGACGTCGCGCGCACCCAGTGTGTGGTGGCGGCGGCGCATGCCAGATGGGGCTCCCGAAGGTGCACCGGAAGGAACGCCCGAAGGCACACCCGAGGGCGCAACGCCGCTCGGGGAAGACGGCACGCCAGAGGGAACAACGCCGCTCGGCGAGGGAGGCGCACCAGAGGGGACAACACCACTCGGCGACGGCGGCGCGCCAGAGGCAGGAGACCCAGGGACGCCCGACGGCACCACAGGTGCGCCGGACGCGGAGGGTGATCCAGGGACGCCAGGCACACCCGTCGGCGACGGCGGCGCCGGGATGGAGATGGTCAGCGACGGGTTAGGTGCCGCGGTCATCATGGGGCCTCCAGGGAAGCTGAATACCGGCGCGCTGCCGCTCGGCGACGCCGGGTATCCGCCCGCCGCAGAGGCAGCGGCGGCAGCGGCGGCACCACCAGGCCAGGTGCCGCTCGGGCTGACAGGCGAGCCCGTGCCCTGGCTGTCCCCACCGGTGTTCCAGCCCCAGGACGAGCCGGTGCTTGAGCCTGCGTCCTGGTTGGCTCCGCCGGTGTTCCAGCTCCATGACGAGCCAGAGCCCTGGCCTTGGCCTTGGTATTGGCCTTGGTATTGGCCCTGATATTGGCCCTGGCCTTGGTTATAAGCTTGGGCAATGGCAGATGCCATGGGTCCCTGGACTGTTTGGGGTGTCAAGGCCGGATACAAGACGCGCGCGGACAGTGCACTCACGGCTCGGGGGAAGGTTCTTGATATACTCTTGCATCTTTCCTCCTTGGCTGCCAGAGGAGAATGAATCACCGCCCGTCATGTCGTCTAGTGTAGCAGAGACGATGAATATTTGGGCGGCTGAGATGGTTGGGGGACTTACTCATCGAGGAGTCAGACCACTGAGGGGCTCTCCTCGCGTAAGGAAGGGCTGCGGCGTTGGCAGAAGCGGCGAGCAGAAGGGAAGGGACGATAGCTTTCGTGTACATGATGGCGAATGAAGGACGATCAACGTTAAGCGTTATAAAAAGTGGAGAATGAGGGAATTGCGCAAGCACAAGGAAGAAAAGCAGTTGGATACGAAGGAAGAGGAACGCGCAGCGTTAGGAGATACCTGAGCTCGAGGCGGGCTACTTATACGATGGCAATGTGATGAACGCCTGGCCGACCATGGCTATGCTCGAAAAGATATTTTTGAGCGTAAGAGGCGCACGAAGGCGCGGGGACTGGCTTCATCAGGGCTTGAAACATAAGGCTTCATCGAAACGTTGATCTCAAGAGAGCGCGGAAGTGATGTCGGATACCGAGGGCAATACGCTGGTTTACAGGGTTGTTTCAAAACTGCAAAGTATCCACGGCATGAGAGCCACAGTAGCCCCCGACGTCAGTAGCTGTGCCTACGGGCATACCGCCCCATGACAGCTAGTTCCTGGCCGGAACGCCCATGAGATCAGATAACTGGCAGTATCGAGCGCAGCACGCACAGATTCCAGAGAGTTGTCGAGGAGTGGTCAGCGCACGCAGACGTAGTTCGACTCAGTCGCATCGCAGAGCGAACATGAGAGTTGCTGAGCCCAAGCGAGCGCTAATGAATTAGCGCCATGAATTAGGCGCCTAAACGAGCGCCGTCAGATCCAGGGCGAGATGTGTTTTGCGCTCTCGACGACGCTTGCTTCTGCAAGACGATCCCTGGGAAGGCACACGAGATTGCCAATGTGCCACGAGAAGTCGTGTACGCGCGGCCTGCTCGTCGGTGGAACGCGGCGAGTCTCGTTCGCTGCCTGGAGTATGCCAAATTGATGGATAACTTTCTGATTATCTCGCCAGCAGACACTCGCTGTACACTTGCTCAGAGCCTCAGCGTTGTCCAGTGCACGTCTGGAGTTGCTATTGACAGATGTCTCTGGCGGAAGAAGCTCCATCAGAACGTGCTTCCCCAGACTACCCCAGGTGCTCCGCGAGGTGATTCGCTTTGATGCAAGTTTAAGACTCTGCGAGGTTGCTGCCTCCGTCCCGCGGAAGCCACAGCCGGCAATGCATCACCAACCATTATAAACGCATATAGGTCGAATCCAGGAACGAAACGACCACCAGTTTCGGCCTGGGAAGTGGGAACATTGTCGGTATACATACTTTGACGCCGTACGATGTTCCTGGACTACCCCCCCTGGAAGATCCATTTTATGCCCTGTAGTTCGTATCCTCTCGCAGTTTTTAAGGTATGCAATCAGCATGCAAAGTCACATGCGAAGTCCACTGATGTCACTACAGCATTGCGACCCTGCACTACCGCGCCAACAACGGCGTTTACGTCCTCTCACCATACATCAAGGCCGTCCCACCGCAGGAAAAAACCGTGCTTCTTTCTTCCTTTTGATCTTCACGGTCCGCCCATTGCTTGCTTTCGGTCCGCCTTAGATGCGCCAGTAGGTCATGTCCCACCTTAATCCGGCACCTGTATTCATCCACCGTTAACCAACTCCAGCACGTTATTCTCATGTTCTTCCCACTATATAAGGTGTGGTGCTGCTTCTTCCCAGGCGCGATCTCGCTGGCTTCCCCGTCCGTCAGCTGCCCAGCGAGCCCAACATCATGGCTATCCCAACGAACCGCAGGGCCATCCTGCTTGCCGCATTCATCGCTTTCGGTGGCTTCCTCTTCGGATATGACATCGGTGTCATCTCAGTAAGTCTTAATATAGGCTATAATCTTTCAATGTTTGATTCAATCTGTCAAATAGGGATGCCTGATCATGCCAGACTTCCAACGACGCTTCGGAACAGTCGCCGCGGATGGAACACCTAGTCTGTCCGCTGCAAGACAGTCCATCATCACCTCTCTCCTCTCAGCCGGGTATGTCAAACGTAGCCGCTAAACTTTCGTCTTGTTTACCCACGCCATACAGTACATTCGTCGGCGCCCTTGCTCAGGCGTTCACCGCAGACCGCTTTGGTCGTCGCGCCTCCATCCTCATCTGGTCTGCCATCTTCACCGTCGGAACTGCCATTCAAACCGGCACTACGTTCTCCATTGTCCAAATTACAGTAGGGCGATTCATCGCTGGCCTAGGCGTCGGTGCTTTGTCTGGTACGTCGCTCGCTTCTTGACTGTTTCCCGCCTTTCATGACGATGACCTGCAGCAATCGTGCCTTTGTACACTGGAGAGACGGCGCCGAAGAAGCTGCGTGGAATGCTGCTTGTCCTGTACCAGCTGCAAATCATCATTGGGTGCGCGTCTCTTGCCGTCTCTTGTTTGAAGTCGCCGTGGATTGACTTGAGCACCGTAGCATCTTCATCAGCTACATGATTGATCTCGGCACCCACCACATCGACGGTTCTGCATCATGGCGCATCCCCGTGGGCCTGCAAATGCTCTGGGGCCTCTTCTTGTTGTCCGGCATCTTCTTCTTGCCCGAGTCTCCGTACGTCGTGCCTTACCTTACTCTGTCGTCTATGTGCTGAGGCGTATTAGACGTCATCTGCTCGGTACAGGCAGGGAAGCAGAAGCGCGCAGGGTCGTGTCCCAGTTGAACAGCGTGCCGGAGGACGACCTGATCGTTATCGAGCTAATCGAGGAACTCGAGTTCGCGATCCGGGCGGAGAACGAGGGCGGCAAGGCGACGTGGCTCGAGTGCTTCTCGACGCGGAACATGCTCTGGAAGCGCACGCTCAACGGCATGATGCTCCAGTTCATCCAACAGTTGAACGGCCAGAACTTCTACTGTAAGCGCACCTGTGCTTAATACCCTCACCACCGCACGCTGACCTGCCGTCTCCGCCAGACTACTACGGCGACACGTTCTTCCAGAGCGCGGGCACGACACTCGACCCGTACGCGATCCAGGCGATCCTCGGCGGCGTCTCCGTCGCGGGCACGATCCCGGCGCTGTACCTGATCGAGACGATGGGCCGGCGGCGCTCGCTGCTGACGGGGTCCGTGCTCGAGGCGATCTGCTCGCTCATCGCGGGGCTCGCGGGACACTTCATGCTCCCGCCGCCGGGCCCGAACCCGGTGCCGCAGTCACAGCTCACGGCGCGCAACCGCGCGGGCGGCAACCTGCTCATCGCGTTCGCGGTGCTGCAGGTGTTCAGCTACTCGATGTTCTGGGGCCCGACGCCGTGGGTGTACCTCGGCGAGAGCTTTCCGCTGCGCGTGCGCCCGAAAGGCATCGCGCTCGGGAGTGCGACCAGTAAGTGTTGCCCTCCTCCATTGTGGTGTTGCACACACGACTGACTTTTGTTGCGTGGCGCCAGACTGCCTGTGGAACTTCCTCCTCTCGTTCTTCTCGCCCCGCATCGC